CACAGCAGGCGACGCGTTCACGGTGAGTGAGCGAGTCAGCGAGTGCGATGATTCCGTTCACGGTCAACATCAGCGACGAATATTTGAATATCCATGTCCTGGGCCTCCCCCAGGTTGATTCAGCCCTCAATGAGTACCCGGTGCGGTGTGTAAACATCAGCACCCCTGGGGAGACAAAGGCGGCCGTGCGTGGTGCTGGCCACCTACCCCCTCGCGTGCCGTGCCGGCTTTCATTGGTACTACTCGCTAACAGCACTTTCCCCAACAGTCCGTGAAGGCTACCCGGGGGATCTTTGTTTGAGTGAGTGAGTTCAGTGGCCACTGAGCGAGCCGACTCTGTGTGATATCGGATCCGTGCCGCGTGTTGCTTGCTCGGCACCTTGTCCGACGTTTCACAACGCGTGCTTTTGGCGTCTAGGTCTCTTAGGTGACGGGGCAAACGAGTCGCTTGGTTATTATTTAAATCTCTCGTGGAAACTCTCCTCTTCGACTTGACATTTACCTCCCCAGTTATGGCCGTTCGCTCTCCTCCCGTTTAGATTTCGCTGCTTTCCATGCGCCATGCGCGTCGCATTGTGATCTCATTGTGATCGAGGACCACGCGAGGCGTCTGAACGCGCGGCCACGAGTGTCGTGGCGCTGTCATCGAGCCGCGCGTTTGCCGCGAAAGTACAAACGGCACGGCGGCTCACGTCACCACTGGCACCCCTCGCTGTCTCAGCTGCGAGGTAGCGGCGCAGCCCTGCAAGGTCCCGGCGCGCGCCACTGCCGGTGCTGGCGGAAGGGCCCGCGACGAGACGAGCGGGAAGGGATGCGATGAGTTACCCACACTATGCCCCACCACCACCACCACCACACGTGACCTGCCTGTCATAGACGAACGGCTGGGTGGACAGAGAGAGGCTGCCAGGGTTTGTTGTTGTTGTTATTGTTGTTGTTATTGTTGTTGTTAAGAGACTTGCCGCAGTATTTCACCTGCCGCACCGGGAGATGGCAGCGGCTGTCCCGCTGTTTTGTCTTCGGTGACGAGCAGTATCCAAATACACACGCGGACCTTCTTCACTTCATCACCGAGTCGTAATAATAGCATCGTGTACACAGCAAATAAACACTGCAAATGCAACAGTACATATACTTACACATGTACACACATATAGTATAGCAAATCTACTGACGCACACACAAAGATCCCCCATATAGCTTTGCACAGACTGTTGGGGCAAGTGCTTTTAGCGAGCAACTATGAAGGCCGGCACGGCACACGAAGAGGTGGGTGGCCAGAACCACGCCCGGCCGCCTTTGTCTCCCCAGTGGCGATGTATACACATCGCACCAGGTACTCAATTGTGGCTGAGTCGACCTAGGAGAGACCGTTTCAGATAACCGTCACTGGTGGTGGTGGCCGCGAGCGAGAATCGAACTCGGGACGCCGGGTTCGAAGCACAGCGCGCTAACCACTGCGCCACCGCTCACCCAATTATGTACTGTATCTACACACACACACGTGTACACACACACGTGTACACACACACGTACATAAATACACTCTTTTCGATATACACGAGTATGTTATATTCTGAACATATCTCAATACACACACACATATATATAGCATGAATAAGCACAAGTAACTATATATATACGCGCGCCCATACATATACAAACATACGGTATATGTATACAATATATTATGCATATGCGAGTGTTGTTCGAATCGGTTTTTGCGTAACCGGTAACCGCATGAAAAACGGTTCGAACCGGTTAAAGTGTTTTTTTTGTTTGCCGCACGTGTAGAGATGTCTATAGCAATGAACACCGCGCGTTTCGCATACACAACCGGACTTGACAACCAGACGGAGATCGCAGATTCGATTCCATCTCCCGACGCGGCAGTTAAAAAAATGCAACAAAAAACCACGTGGGCCTCAGTTTCTTAACGCGACGCGTGGACACGCAATCGGAGGTCGCCGCACTCCGTCTCGCAGGCTCCCACTCGCGCAGAGGCAAAGATCCCCCGGGTAGCCTTCAGCAGACTGTTGGGGCAAGGCGCTTTAAGCGAGGAGCGCCGATAAAGGCTGGCACGGCACACGAGGTGGTGGGTGGTCGGCGTCACGCCCGACCGCCTTTGTCTCCCTCGTGGCGCTGTTTACGCACGCCGCTCGTTTAAGGCCGAGTCGACATAGAGAAGGCCCAGGACCGGCTCGTATAATCGTCGCTGGTGTTGGCCGTCAGTGGGAGTCAAACTCGGTTTGCCGTCGGTTCGTAACGCAGCCTAACCACTGCGCCACCACTCGCCACGCATATACAACACACGCGTGTACGTTCGGGATGTTAAACCGGTGACCGCTAAACCGGTAACCGTTTCGAGTTACGATCGCCAGCAACCGCACAAACGGCACGGCGAGCCGAGTCACCGAGGTGGATGTTGCGACTGGTATCGCCAGACTGGTAAACTGCTTCATGTTTCACTCTTATTTAACGATAATGGAAAATAAAAGCCGATTCTAAACTACCCCATAAACAATACATGTCCACATGCTTTCCCAAAGCACACAAACACACTGTGTGTGCTTTAGAGAGCGTGTGTTGAACTTCTTTCGCACCGTACGTAGCCAATTGTGCTACTCGGATGTACGAACACACTCTAACGCACACGCTCTCGTACACACACCAACACACACTCACACTCTAAAACTTACACACTCTAACCCACTCGCTCTCGCAAACACACCAACACACACACTCTAAAACTTACACACTCTAACCCACACTCTCCCGCAAACACACCAACACACACTCACACTCTAAAACTTACACACTCTAACCCACACGCTCCCGTACACACACCAACACACACTCACACTCTAAAACTTACACACTCTAACCCACACGCTCCCGCAAACACACCAACACACACTCACACTCTAAAACTTACACACTCTAACCCACTCGCTCTCGTACACACACCAACACACACTCACACTCTAAAACTTACACACTCTAACCCACTCGCTCTCCGCAAACACACCAACACACACTCACACTCTAAAACTTACACACTCTAACCCACACGCTCTCGTACACAACCAACACACACTCACACTCTAAAACTTACACACTCTAACCCACTCGCTCTCGTACACACACCAACACACACTCACACTCTAAAACTTACACACTCTAACCCACTCGCTCTCGTACACACACCAACACACACTCACACTCTAAAACTTACACACTCTAACCCACTCGCTCTCGTACACACACCAACACACACTCACACTCTAAAACTTACACACTCTAACCCACACGCTCTCGTACACACACCAACACACACTCACACTCTAAAACTTACACACTCTAACCCACTCGCTCTCGTACACACACCAACACACACTCACACTCTAAAACTTACACACTCTAACCCACTCGCTCTCGTACACACACCAACACACACTCACACTCTAAAACTTACACACTCTAACCCACACGCTCTCGTACACACACCAACACACACTCACACTCTAAAACTTACACACTCTAACCCACTCGCTCTCGCAAACACACCAACACACACTCACACTCTAAAACTTACACACTCTAACCCACTCGCTCTCGTACACACACCAACACACACTCACACTCTAAAACTTACACACTCTAACCCACTCGCTCTCGTACACACACCAACACACACTCACACTCTAAAACTTACACACTCTAACCCACTCGCTCTCGTACACACACCAACACACACTCACACTCTAAAACTTACACACTCTAACCCACACGCTCTCGTACACACACCAACACACACTCACACTCTAAAACTTACACACTCTAACCCACTCGCTCTCGTACACACACCAACACACACTCACACTCTAAAACTTACACACTCTAACCCACACGCTCTCGTACACACACCAACACACACTCACACTCTAAAACTTACACACTCTAACCCACACGCTCTCGTACACACACCAACACACACTCACACTCTAAAACTTACACGCTCAACGCGCGCGCTCACACCAATACACGTGCATGCATCTCACACACGCGCACGTGTGAGTGCAATTTCTTAATATACAAAGACAAAGGTTCCCCGTGTAGCCTTGACAGACTGCTGTGGCGAGTGCTGTTAGCGAGCACCTATGAAGGCCGTCACGGCACACGAGGGGGTGGGTGGCCAGCACCACGCCCGGCCGCCTTTGTCTCCCGAGTAGCGATGTTTACACAACGCGCCAAGTGCTCATTTAAGGCTGAGTCGACTCAAGGGAAGCCCCGTACCGGTAATGATGTAAGCCGTGGTGCGCTAATTACAACACCACCGCTCCCCACGATGATGGGTACACATACTCACTCAATGACTCACACACTGACTCACACTGACTCACACTCACACACTGACTCACACTCACACACGAAACACTCAGCCACACTCTCACACACTCACGCAAAACTACACTCCTGTACTCACACGTGCACACACTCTGTCACGCACACTCACACGTATACATACACACCCATACACACATCGATATCGACAAAAACAAAGATCCCCGTATAGCCTTAACACACACACTGACATACACACTCACACATTTACACACTCTGACACACTCACACATTGACACACCGACACGCTCACAACACTGACACGCGCTTGCACTCGCGGCTGTAAACGCGGATACACACGCGAGAGAGAGAGCGAGAGAGAGACGAGAGAGAGAGAGCGAGAGAGCGATGAGAGAGAGTCCAAAAAAGAGAGATTCGCGCCTCCAGCGAACACGCGCCCATCCGGAGCGCGCGCGTGGAGAGAGCACAAGGGGAGAGCGACAGGGATCAGAGAGGCGAAGGGGAGAGCGCGAGACGGGGCGAGTGGAGAGCGTGCACCGGCGAGCCAATCGAGAGTGAAGGGAGAGTTAAGCGAGTCAAGGGAGAGAGAGAGAGGAGGGGTAAGTGAGAGTTGGGTAACTAACTCACTCACTCACCCGGAGCGGCTCTCCTCCGGCTCCCCGCGCCTCGCGTGCCGTGCCCGAGTCGCGGCGAGTCGCACCAGACGAGAGTCCTCGGCAGGCATCAATGCCCCGCGACCAGCGCTCGCGAGCGCTCCCTGACGCACGCCAATACTCGGCTCAATACGTTACACGGGTTAGAAAATGAAGCCAATGTTGACTATATGTAATTATACAAGTGGAGGGTTTTTGTTATTAAACAACTGGAGTTTCTCAAACTCTAGCGGTCGGGTGCGCCTCGAGAGGGGTGTTGTGCTACTGGTGAGCAGATCATGGTGGTGATGGTGGTGGTGATGGTGGTGGTGATGGTGGTGGTGGTGCACTCTCGGCGCTCTACTCTGTTCCTCACCCACCGAACTCTCCCCTCCTCTCACTCTCTCCACGACTACCACTGCACCACCACGCGCTCTCTCCTCCTCTCCCTCCCCGTACTCTTCCCCCTCTCCCTCCCCCCACTCCCCTCTCTCAGTCCTCCCCCCCTCTCCACCTCTCAGTCCTCCCCCCCTCTCCACCTCTCTCCTCTCTCTCTGTCCTCCGCCCCGTGTCTCGCAGCGCCCCACGCGTACAGCTGGGAGCGCGGACTTGGAAAACAAACAGCAACAAATAACAACAACAACAAGCCACGCACAACACGACTGCAGAGACAAAACACTTCCCACGCTGCAACCACGAGGAGTCGCGCTGTTAGGAGTCGTCAACACAGTGGAAGTGATGGTGGTGGTGGTGGTGATGCTGCTGCTGATGATGATGGTAATGCCGACGGTGACGATGGTGCGGATGATGGTGATGATGATAATGACGACTCAATGATTCAATTGGATTGCACACATTAGCAAAATCATCGTCTCCCTACTGCGAAAACTCGGCAGGACCCTCGTGAAAATAGTCACGAGACTCAGAGAATCTCTCCTGGGTGAACACGAGCAGGCTCACATTGGCAACAAGATGATGACCGGTGCCGCTGACGACAATGATCGCGATGCTGATCACGACGGCGACAATGATGGCACTGATGGTGGTGATGATGGTGATGATGGTGATGATGGTGGTGATGATGATGATGGTGATGATGGTGATGGTGATGATGGTGATGGTGGTGATGATGGTGGTGGTGATGATGGTGATGATGGTGATGATGGTGATGATGGTGGTGATGGTGATGATATTCTTAGGTGTTTTCGGTAAAGTCACGTAGGTAAAACATCAAAATTAATAAAAATAATAAAATAAAAATAAAGATCACTTGATGCAGCTGATCTGGCTGTGACTGTCCCACCTGATGACGGAGACTTGTGTTGCCTCCGAAACGTCGTGATCTTTATTTTTATTTTATTATTTTTATTAATTTTGATGTTTTACCTACGTGACTTTACCGAAAACACCTAAGAATATGATTCCTTGCAGTCACGAAAGCTTCAAGTCTAGATGGTGATGATGGTGATGATGATGGTGGTGATGATGGTGGTGATGATGGTGGTGATGATGGTGATGGTGGTGGTGGTGATGATGGTGGTGGTGGTGATGATGGTGATGATGGTGGTGATGGTGATGATGGTGATGATGGTGATGATTGTGATGATGATGGTGATGATGGTGATGATGGTGATGATGGTGGTGGTGGTGATGATGGTGATGATGGTGGTGATGGTGATGATGGTGATGGTGATGATGATGGTGATGATGGTGGTGATGATGGTGATGATGGTGATGATGGTGGTGATGAGCCGCGCCAGGCCACGCCCCTCAAGCGGCACCAGCCCCCCGCGCACACAGACAAAGTTCCCCCGTATAGCATCAACAGACTGGCTGGGGCAAGTGCGGTTACAGCACAGAATGCTTCTCCTCAGGGTAACAGGCTAACTCTGGCTGTCGCCTGATGATGCTGGTTGTAATTATCGGCGAAACGTCGTACTCGACTTGTAGATGTTGTGGGTTTACTCTCCAACACACAACTGGTGAACTAGTAACGAACTGGCGCATTTTTGTTTACGTGATAAACTTTACTAATTGGCTGTGTCGGGTGGTGGAGGGTTTAACGACACAACATTTATATTTCCGTGATCTAACCCAAGAACCTCTATTATGGTGCTACTCCTACATGACTGAGTCGACCTGGGGATGCCCAGGACCGGTTCAGATATACATCGGTCACCTATCGCACGTACACACACACAAACCTACACACACACACCTACACACACGTACACCCACACACACGTACACACACGTACACACACACACCTACACACACGTACACCTACACACACACGTACACACACGTACACACACACACCTACACACACGTACACACACACCTACACACACGTACACACACCTACACACACGTACACACGCACACCTACACACACACGCACATACCTACACACACGTACACACACACCTACACACACGTACACACGCACACCTACACACACATGCACATACCTACACACACCTACACACACGTGCACACACACGTACACCTACGCACCTACACACACGTACACACACACCTACACACACGTATACACACATATAACAAACACATACGCACACACATACATAGAGGTGCGGATACGCACAAATAAAGACAAAAATTCCGCAACCACGGCCAACATCAGCAGTGATCATATGATCTGTCCTGGGCCCCCACTACGTCGATTCAGCCATAAGTGAGTTACAGGTGGGGTGTATAAACAATAAAAATCATCACTGGGGAGACGAAGGCGGCCGGGGGACAGTGCTTCTTGTCACATCACCCGCTCCTACATGGGAGGTGCTACTCGCTCACAGCACTTGCCCCAGCAGCCTTTACAGGCTACACGGGGCAGCTTTGTTGGTGCCTGATATCAGCCTCGTCACGGACCCTGACACACACGCGACCCCCCCCCCCCCCATTGCCCCCCCACCGCCCCTCGCTGCTCTGTCGTGGAAGAGGAAGCCGCCGTGGGTGGGGGGCAGGGGCTTGAACCTGGATGCGTGGCGTTAGAACGTTCTAACACCCCCCTCGTGTTCTAACTCCCCCTCGTGTTCTAACTCCCCCTCGTGTTCTAACTCCCCCTCGTGTTCTAACTCCCACCTCGTGTTCTAACTCCCCCCTCGTGTTCTAACTCCCTCCTCGTGTTCTAACTCCCCCTCGTGTTCTAACTCCCCCTCGTGTTCTAACTCCTCCTCGTGTTCTAACTCCCTCCTCGTGTTCTAACTCCCCCTCGTGTTCTAACTCCCCCCTCGTGTTCTAACTCCCCCTCGTGTTCTAACTCCCCCTCGTGTTCTAACTCCTCCTCGTGTTCTAACTCCCTCCTCGTGTTCTAACTCCCCCTCGTGTTCTAACTCCCCCCTCGTGTTCTAACTCCCCCCTCGTGTTCTAACTCCCCCTCGTGTTCTAACTCCCCCCTCGTGTTCTAACTCCCCCTCGTGTTCTAACTCCCCCTCGTGTTCTAACTCCCCCCTCGTGTTCTAACTCCCCCTCGTGTTCTAACTCCCCCTCGTGTTCTAACTCCCCCTCGTGTTCTAACTCCTCCTCGTGTTCTAACTCCCTCCTCGTGTTCTAACTCCCCCTCGTGTTCTAACTCCCCCTCGTGTTCTAACTCCCCCCTCGTGTTCTAACTCCCCCCTCGTGTTCTAACTCCCTCCTCGTGTTCTAACTCCCCCTCGTGTTCTAACTCCTCCTCGTGTTCTAACTCCCTCCTCGTGTTCTAACTCCCCCTCGTGTTCTAACTCCCCCCTCGTGTTCTAACTCCCCCCTCGTGTTCTAACTCCCCCTCGTGTTCTAACTCCCCCCTCGTGTTCTAACTCCCCCTCGTGTTCTAACTCCCCCTCGTGTTCTAACTCCCCCCTCGTGTTCTAACTCCCCCCTCGTGTTCTAACTCCCCCCTCGTGTTCTAACTCCCCCTCGTGTTCTAACTCCCTCCTCGTGTTCTAACACCCCCCTCGTGTTCTAACTCCCCCCTCGTGTTCTAACTCCCCCCTCGTGTTCTAACTCCCCCCTCGTGTTCTAACTCCCCCTCGTGTTCTAACTCCCCCCTCGTGTTCTAACTCCCCCTCGTTTTCTAACTCCCCCCTCGTGTTCTAATCCCCCCTCGTGTTCTAACTCCCCCCTCGTGTTCTAACTCCACCCTCGTGTTCTAACTCCCCCCTCGTGTTCTAACTCCCCCCTCGTGTTCTAACTCCCTCCTCGTGTTCTAACTCCCCCTCGTGTTCTAACTCCTCCTCGTGTTCTAACTCCCTCCTCGTGTTCTAACTCCCCCTCGTGTTCTAACTCCCCCCTCGTGTTCTAACTCCCTCCTCGTGTTCTAACTCCCTCCTCGTGTTCTAACTCCCCCTCGTGTTCTAACACCCACCTCGTGTTCTAACTCCCCCCTCGTGTTCTAACTCCCCCTCGTGTTCTAACTCCCCCCTCGTGTTCTAACTCCCCCTCGTGTTCTAACTCCCCCTCGTGTTCTAACTCCCTCCTCGTGTTCTAACTCCCCCTCGTGTTCTAACTCCCCCCTCGTGTTCTAACTCCCCCCTCCCTCGTGTTCTAACACCCATCTCGTATTCTAACTCCCCCCTCGTGTTCTAACTTCCCCCTCGTGTTCTAACTCCCCCCTCGTGTTCTAACTCCCCCCTCGTGTTCTAACTTCCCCCTCCTGTTCTAACTCCCCCCTCGTGTTCTAACTCCCCCCTCGTGTTCTAACTCCCCCCTCGTGTTCTAACTCCCCCCTCCCTCGTGTTCTAACACCCATCTCGTATTCTAACTCCCCCCTCGTGTTCTAACTTCCCCCTCCTGTTCTAACTCCCTCCTCATGTTCTAACTCCCCCCTCGTGTTCTAACTCCCCCCCCCCGTGTTCTAACTCTGTGCGGGTTCTAACGCGGACCGGGTGAGTACGGCGCTGGACTGTGGATGGGCGTCACAGGTATTGCTGAGATCACGGGTCGAGGTGATGGTGATGGTGAGTGTGATGGTGAGTGTGGTGGTGAGTGTGGTGGCGAGTGTGGTGGTGAGTGTGGTGGTGAGTGTGATGGTGAGTGTGGTGGTGAGTATGAGGGTATAGTGGAGGGTGAGTGTGATGGTGAATGTGAGTGTGGTGGTCAGTGTGGTGGTGAGTGTGAGGGTCAGTGTGAGGGTGATGGTGAGTGTGGTGGTGAGTATGGTGGTGAGTGTGAGATGTCAGGGTATGGGACTTGATTTTTGGGTTTGATGTGATGATATTGATAAATGCTGGTGATGATGGCGATGTGATGATATTGATATATGATGGTGATGATGGCGATGTGATGACAATTCCCACCACCTTCACGATGATACCCGTGCGAAGTTTGACCACCACGAGCATCATCAACATCACCCACATCATCATCACAACCACCACCACGGGCTTAGCCATT